TCTCGCTTCTGACCGCATCTCTTTTAGGACTTCTCTTCATGTGTTGATGACAACTTCTTTTGGTTTAATAAAACCACATTATGAACATACATAGACAGGAAGACGGATAAAAAAAACTCTTGATAATGTAGCATTCACAACTTTGGACGATACTTCCGTCTGGAATAGAAGCAGAAGCAGGAATGTGTGTCATGTGAGCATGTTTACAGCGGTGGATTAAAGGTGTTTGAGTGTTTCCTGGTTAAGCAGTGAGTGATCTGGGTCTGTGTCAGAGCTCCAGCTGGTGAATAATTGAATTGTGTTATATCTGCATGATGTGGCCGAGTCTTCAGAGGCACAGGACGCATCTTTTATTCACGCGCTTCATCCAACTTTCAGACTATGAGGTGAAAAGACACAAAGGGAGGCGACTCCGAAGGCAGAACAGCGAACACTGACCGTAACGAAGAAAGTGAGAAAAAATAACAAGAATCACAACTTTTACTGATCCAGGACGGAACGCTTCAATTCATAATCACAGCTGAGCCTCCCGACAACACGACGGGAGGAAACACACACACTATTCATCACAATTATTTCATAGAAAACTATGATTAATGTATTAAACAATACCATACAATACATTTTTAATATATATATTTAATATTTAATATACAAATATATAATATATTAAATATATTTATAATATCTTTTTCACTAGAGTAAATTAGAAATTAGAAAACGGTTATAAGTGGCATAATATAAAGACACAGTGAAGACGTTAAAGAAGTCTTGTGGGTGTTTTTATGACTCTAAAGATAATATGATATTAAAGGAATATTTGTACACCAGGACTGTAATTTATTTCTTGGTTGAGCAGGAAACAGCTTCACAGATTTCTGCTCTCACGTCAAAGAAAAGAGATTCAGTTTCAACAAAGCAACAAGACGAGCAGACAAAAACAAGAATCGCTGACATCAGCGCTTCATTTGTGTAAAAGCTTCTTCAGACCGCCGTGGTTCCTGTTACACGATGTCTCCTCAGCACTCAGCACTTTCCCCGAGATGAATCCCAATAAACGTGATGCTGATCACGGTTACTGAGCACAACCCCAGCTGAGCAAAAGTCACATCTGAGCCTCTTTTAGCTCAAATGAAGCAACTGTTCACTACCTGCTCAGCAGCTAACAGCAGGCAGACTCAGTCAGAGACTAGCTGCTGAACAAAGTGCAGCATTTAGCAGCTAAAGAGACATCGTCAAGAGGTGGTGGAGACCAAAGATGGAGCTAAAAGATGAGGAAACACTGGACTTACAGCGTCTCCTAGTGAGACAGACAGACGACTAAAACATTAGGAATCTCCATCTGTCTGTATGAACGTACGTATGTGTGTCCTTTGCTCTCGACAGAACAGGACATCCGTCCAGGGGGAGTTTGTTTCCCGTGCGTAAGTCAAAGTAAACGAGGACATTTTGTCCCGTCAGTGTCGTTCGTCACATGTACGTCGTCAAGTTAACGTCACCAGCTTCTCCTAAACCTAACCAAGTGGTTTTGTTGCCTGAACCCTAACTTCCTGCAGAGACGGAGGTTTATTTTGAAAAGACGCGACGCATGTTACCAGAATCAATTGTTATCCTTTCATTGTGTAAAAAGTGACGCCAGAGGGTCACGAAGAGCGTCATAGTTTGAGGCTTAATGCCACTGATGTGTTGCGAGGTGGGCGTGTCACTTACGCTCTTTAGTAGTATATTTTCAAAATAAACAGATTTAGGGCCTGTGTCCACACAGCGCCTTTGACTGGCAAAAAAGTGGCCGCAACAATATCTTGACAACATATCACCGCCGTGTATGAGTTTAGAAGCACTTAGTATTAAAGACACAATTTAAACTTTGAGTCTTCCTGGAGGATCCCAGTGTGTGACTGTGGTTGGATAACAGGTGGAGGCGTGTGTGTGTGTGTGTGTTAACCTTCACGAGACGAACACGTGAGGCCGTCCTGCGGTTCGGCCTCACGTGACGCTCGCTGACTTAAAGCCGTCATGAATCAAGCCGCTCACGTGAGAAATGACTCCAGCTGTCGGCTCCCGGAGGAAGAAGCTGCTGCTGAACTCACAGCTCACCGGATACAACGATTCAGCGTGAATGCTGAAGTAAACATATCAATCTCACGGATCGGCGTACATCACCATGTGACCTCGCCGGAGCGGGGGGTGCAAGACACCGATGAAACCAGGACACACACAGCACCCACACGACAGTCAAGGGGAATCGCAGAACTTTTGGAAATTGATACCAAATCTGATTCCAAAAGCTGCAAATACATGTTTACTCTAATGGTGACGTTTGTGAACCTCTGGAGCAGCTGCTGCACTGATCAGTGATGATCTGAACTGTTCTAGTCTCCCACATACAGACCTTCACACCCTGTGAAGGGTTCACGTGAGAAGGTCGCTCAGCAAGCAGCTTCCATGACTCTCTGATACGGAGTGATATCCAATGAGTGGAGTTTGGTTTGAAGACATTGATTGATTTGATTTCATCAGTGGAGAGTTCATCTCGAGCGACCGCCGGGTCGTCTGACTGACAGGTTTGATGATGGCGTGACGGTAAGAAGGAGCAGCTCTCCAACTCAGTCTCACGGCAGCTTGTGAAATAGTCAGGAAATGTAATCTGTTGGTCCGGATTTTTTTTTTTGTGACGCTCAGCACAAAAATAATGTCAATGTAAAGTCAATTAGGAGGCTTATTCCTGGTGGAGACATGAAATAAACAAAAGACGTGACTAAAAGTGACGTACTTTATATCTAAAAAGACTTCAACCTGAGAGATAAAATGTGTCTTATTGGCTCTTTTTCTTGTCATTGGGCTGCAGAACAAGACGCCCATCACGACTGTGTCCTTGGCTGCAGCGCAGGACGCCAGAGAGAGAGAGAGAGAGAGAGAGAGAGAGAGAGAGGCTGGGGGGGGTGTACTCTGAAGAGAACGGCTGAATAATTCATCCCAGAGAGGAAGACGGAGAGTCCAGAGGAAAAAAAAGTAAAACCCCTCAGGAAACAATATGTCTTTTCTTTGGATTTCCCTCCTTTGTCCTCTTTGATGAGAATCAAACATTTAATCTGAATGTTCTTCCCCAGCTGGGGTCCAATCTCCCCGACATCATTCCCAGGCTCTGCTGGAGCCTCGGAGGACGTAAACCTCCTGCAGAGCGCCGGTGTGGCGTTAATTAAGCCGGGCTGCAGCTTCTCCTGTCGGACGTTAGTCTGAACACCTCAACACACGCTGACATTGATATCAGGCCTCAGAGGCCTCGGGGCAGAGCCGCATTCTCAGGAATCACAGGAGCAGCAGCGCTATTCATCACGCAGACGGTTCTGCTAACGCCACTCAGTAGAGCTGTGATCAGAGGTCAGAGGTCACGTAAAGAAGACCTGAGTGAACCCTGCTGATATCTGTCGAGATGTTATTGGACCAAACAAACCATCGTGTAGATTTATGAAGTGAAAACGGTTAAATGTTGGTGTTTTTACAGCCCAAACTGCTTTTACTTTGACTTCTTGGCACACAATGCCCCTGAACACACTGTCGTGGAAACACTCAGAGCCCCTGAACACACCGTCGTGGATACACTCAGAGCCCC